TATAGAATAAATTGAAACTAATTAAAAATTTTAATATAAATTAGAGAAACAAAAAACTATTATTAAGTCCTTAATGATCTTAATTAAAAAAATTCATATTGATATTTGCTTTATCTAAGATTTTGCGTATCTTAAAAATGTATTTACAATTTACCTGCTAATTGTTTACTAAATTTTATTTATAGTTTGAGATTTAGAAACAAATTTTATTATATGTATTTAATATAATAATTTACTACTATTATCTTCAATTACTTATTCTAATCTTATTGGCATGCTATTTAAGAAAATAAGAAAAAATCAATAAAAAAATTATATTAATTTAGTAAGATTAATTTAAGAAAATTATCTATAATAACCAGATTTTTTATTTACTAACTTATTAATTTATTTTTCTATTCGATTTATTAAAATATAAATTACAAATTATTAATTAGATTGAAATCTGAATAATTAGACAACTATTCTAATATTACTGAATATCTTTGCTTAAGAAATTTTATTATTTTCTTAACATTATTTTTAGAATCATTATCTTATTAAAAAACTCAGTATTTTCTCATTATTGTATTAGTATTATTAAAAAGATTAACTAAATTTTACAGTAAAAGTACTATTTATAATACTAAAAAACTAATTAAACCTTTTACTATAAAAGTATCTTAAGCAGGAATTTTATACAGGTGTTCAATTATAAGTTTTTTGTGAAAGTTTAGTTTTAACTTTATAAAATATTTTTTAAATATTTTAAAATATTTGAATAGTGATTTTATTAGAAAAAACTATTTGTTTTCTATTTTGATCTTTATTTTTAATTGCCTATTTCATATTGAAAGTGGCAAAAACTGATGAACCTTTCAAATATGACATATATGCTAAATAGAACATATTTATAATTTATATCATTTCTATTATTATTATTATTACTATTATTTCTAATATATTTATTATAATTAGCATATTTGTTAGCTCTGTTATTATTGTTTTCTTATATAAAAGGTATAAAAATGCCTTGGAAAAAGGACAGATTCTAACAGATTCTAACATTGTATTCAATATACATTTAATAACAATAATAAACAACATTAATATTTTGCAACATAAAACTTATAATTTTATTCTTGTTAACTAAACGAATTCTCTAATTAATATCATGTCAAGTTGATTGAATTTAAGTTATAGCTATTGTCTTTCTAACTTCAAATTAAAGTTAACTTATTTGACAGACAAAGTAACGTTAACAACATAATGTTATTTATGAATAATAGTAAAGAAAGTTATTATTTTAAAATTATATAGTGATATTTGTCACTCACTCTTTTTTCTCTTTTTTACTTTCTCTCTTTTTTTTTATCTTTTTTTTCTCTCTCTTTTTTTTTCTCTTTCTTTCTCACATTTTAAGTTTTTTTAAGTAATTATATATTGTAAGAAGTAGAACAAAAGTTAATTTATGTAAATTCTTAGTATTATAAATACCAGAGTTCTATAAAATGGTTATAACTATATGATATTATTCAAGTGTAATATTTACTATTAGTAGTTAGAAGCAAATTTTGTTATTTATAATATATATCAAAATAAATATGAAGATCTTATATTATAATGGTTATAAAATTTCTTAATGATTGAATATAAATTATAGGAGAAATGTAGGGTTTATTTTTATGATTACTTTTTCACCATTATAATACTTTGTTGATTGAAGTGTATTTTGTTTCACAATATAGTATTTTATTTATAGCTTCTGTTTTATAATATATTGATCTTACTTTTGATGTTAAATCACATTGTATTTAATATACTAAGGATAATATCCAAGTGCTATTATTTGATATCTCATATTAAAAATCTTATTTTTAACAGTATATTAAGCATTAATATAAGGACTATTAGGATAATTATGGTAAAAATATTTATATTATTATTATTCTATTATAAAATTAACTGTTAATACAAAGCTTAACCATAATGCAATCTTTTATTTCTTTCAAAATAATAAAAAAAGGGTATTATAAAAAAGTAAACAAATAAACAAAAAAAAAATATATTAATTTTCAAAAAAATAGTTTTTTTACAATGACCTTTTAATCCCTAAACCAATCTAACCCATCTACAAATCATCTGGAGCAAGCGATTTGAAATAAATTTTAGAACGATTATTGGCTTCGAATTATTATTATCACACACTTTGTAAACATCACAAATTTTACTTAGAAAATGAGCGTAAACGGCCCATATGAATAGCATTTATTTTGTAAGTAGACGGAAATTATATCCATAGTAAAAGGGTGAAATTTCAAATCAATTTCGTACAAGAATTCATTTCAGAACCCATTGATATATAAAATAAAATTTAATAAATAAGAGAATATCTATCAAAATTTTTAGGATTCTCAATACGCTCAATAATTAACACGAATTAAGATAACAAAATGGAATTTTTGAATTAATGAATTGTAATTTTAAAATAAAAGAAAAAGGAGTTGATAATTTTTTTTAGGACTTCCATGAAATCAGAAAAATAGAATTCTTAAAATAAGTTATCAGCCTCAATGCGTTTATTGAGCTGTTTACGCACTTTAAAGCAATAGAAAATCACAAATGAATGGTGAAGCCGGTCGTTATAATAAGATGAAATCAAATCCTTGAGATATTTATGCTTTGCATTTTACCTAGACTATATAGCATTGTAGTGCATGCACAAATATTACTTCAACGGATGTGAAGCCGCAAGTGGCGAAGTCATAATAGATATCCGGCTGTGTACTGTTTATATATTGTAAATATTTTATTGGCGCGTGTGGCTTCAAAATTACGACATGCGCATGATGGATTCACATGAACGAAGTTCAAATAAGATAATAACTATTTACAAATATTCAAACTTTGAAAGGGTAGTAGGTTTATTTCTTTGTAAAGAGAAAGTAAGTAGATTTTATTATAATATAATTAATTGGTCAAAGGGCTATATTTTTATTTATTAATTGATCTAAGCCTCATAAAATTCCTGAATCAAATTTGAGACGTCCCAATTAGCTTAGACTGGTTTTTAAAATCTCGATATGACGTATTAATTTAGATGCTTAAGAATTTTCTGTAAAATTTCACAATAACACTAACTATAACATAATCAAAATCATCCAAATTTGCAGTTTTTATTCGAATTTTTATCTTCAAAGGATGATAAAGTAATCAATATCATTAAGTTTTCAAGAACTTCTCTCATTCGAGTAAAAGGTTATTAATGTAAAGAATTGAAAGCGAGAACCTAGAATTTAAATCCAACGATTGGAATAAACTTAAGATAAATATTTATTATATATGAATTTTGATGAGGTTTTCAACCTTTCACGTTAAGAGGTTTACTAATACAAAAGAGATGTGAAAGTAATTCATTGCAAACAAAGTTATATTGCTATCAGTCAGTCAATTAAGTAAATCAAAACTATAAGTGGTTAGCTTAAATTAAATTTGATAAACATAATATAAATGACAATCCACGGTTTTTTTTTGATGCCCAGATCGAAAAACAACTTCTTCCCAATTATTTTGGTATAAACTATTTTTATGAATTATGATTACAAAGTTGAAACATTTATTTATATTAGCCAGTAAACTCTCTCTACATTTAACAAAATTAATAATTCATTTATTCATTAAAATTTGATTTTAAAGCCAATTATTGATACTTTGTTTATCAGGTTGTATCAATGATATTTATATAATTTTTTCTTAAAAGCAGAATTATTAAAGCTGTACATCTAATTTAACAGAAAGAATGGGTACAAGTCATACAAAACCGGTTCCAATTAAAAAAAAAAAGCAAATAAAATGCGCCTTGAAAAATAATGAAAAACTCAACTATCTAATGAAGAGGTGCAGGAACCTATCAATGAAGAGGAATCTATTAATTATAAAACACAACGAACTCCATTAAAATAACTTCTTCGGATCATTCAATAATAATAGTTTTATTAAAATCAGAAAATTGGATTGAAAGGATCGACACATAAAAAACAAATATACTTAGTAGACCATCCAATGAAAGTGTGATGCAGATTGCTTACTTGATTCCAATTATGAGTGGACCTGTTACAATACATAATTGATGAATTATATACATTCGTTCATTGGAAAATGCATGAAGTTTTATCCTAATAATTAGAAAAGAAATCATAATCTTGATTTGTATAAGAGATCTACAATTTACAATCGTTATATTGCAGAAATAAAGTCATTCAGATTGAAATCAGATATGTTGGTATGGGTGTGGATTCAAGGATATCAATCACCACGTCATATAATAAGATTTCTTATTTTATTATTATTATTTTTATTATTTGATCATCGTTAATGATTATTAATATAAATATTTGCTTATAAACATTCGGCTAACTGACTTTAGCCTGAAATTTTCTTTTTCAAGACGAATCAAAGTTCATAATTCCCAATTAGATAAACGATTCACTATTCAGTTTCTTGCATTTAAACTCAAATTTTAAAACTTTATTTGCAGATCATTACCTTTAAAATCATTTTAATATTTATATAGTTAGAACTTCGGAGCGATTAGATATATTGGTAATGTGGCTTCTTTATATTTTGCTATTTTAGTATTTAAGTTGGTTTTATATTAGAAACTTTAATTTTAAAATGATTGTAACTTCTTTAAAAGATCTCATATTTGATTTATTAACGAACGCCATTTCACAAACATACTTGCTTAAGTAATTTATTTGTCATATAAATTCGTCAAAGACCGATGTACCTATCCAATCGAACTAATGCGATGAAAGGTTTCGGCTACACATTGAAAAATAAATCGGCCATTTTTACAATACAATGTGTCAATTATTATGTGATACCAACTCAGATAGGTCCGCCAAATACAAACTTCGGAAGTATTCCGAAACTAACAACATTCATTAATGCGCAGTTGTTAAATCATTATAAAAAGCAGAACCTTTTGCATCTCCTCTTCTGATTCACACGTTCATATCATGCAAAACATAACTTCGTTCCATTTTTTTGAACCCGAAACTTTCATCAGTTCAAATAATAATGGAAGTCCAAAAAGGAGAGTATCAAACATGTTTATATCATATCGTAAAGAAATGATGATATATAAACCACATAATATGTCAATGACCGAGTACAGCAAACTGGTATCTTCGTGGTGGAAGAAGATACCAAATGAAGTAAAAACTGAATTACAAAGGCGATATCAAATCAATAGAGATCAAAAATTACAAAATAAGGTCAACGAAACCGATCAATGCAATGGCGATAATAATTTTATTTATTGTTTTATGTCAAATAATGAACCTGAATCATCAAAAAATGAAAATGTCAAATTGCAATCAAGATATCAATCAAACCAAGATCAAAATTTACAAAACAAGACCGACTTAGATCATACGGATGTTTCCCCTAATCCTCCATACGCCTTGAATGATCTTGTTACAAGTGAGTCTATATTACAAGATCAAGTCATCGACTGTGAATCACCATACGATTATCAACTTCTTATTCCCAATTATTCCAACTCTAATGGAATTATTGACAACGGTAAATTATTTAATAAGATGATACGAGATTGTTATCTCACAGATATTCCCTCCGAAATATTTTTTAATAATGATCTCGAACATACATATCATTATTAGAATATCGTATAAAGCTTACTCTCTTATGAAGTCCCTATCTTAAATTCTAATTTTTTTACTCGAAATCTTTTACTCGAAAAGTTTTTACTTTTAAGTGTCTTTAGCCGAAATTTCTTTTTTATTTTCTTTTACGTTTTCCGATCGAACTTTATGAACAAAAACCTGGCATTAATCCGAATAGATTATCGACGATTCGTTATTTTTTTAAATTAAATTTTGCTTAATGACTGTATTAAGTCACAAAATCGATTCTTAAATCCATAACTGGTAAATCCTTATGAAAATTGAACAAATGTATTCTAATAAATTTCAAATTTCCCGTTATTAAAACTTTCATTAAAAAGAAATAAATGGAAATCTGATCTGGTAGTTACAGAAACATGTATGGGATGATTATCTATGTATGGAACGTATGGTTTTTTTTATATCTAATTATTTCTAAAATACTATATTATAATCGTATATTTAAGATCTTTCATTTTAGTAACATATTTATTAAACATATTATCGAAGATAAGAAAAAAAAAATTGAAAATTCAAAGTAAATTACCAAATTAAGATTAATTCGTGTTATAAAATGGGAGGTAATCTATTAAAATCACAGTATGGAATCATATGATTTACTATGTTTGTAACGTTTGTAACTTGATTTTAATAGCAAACCTCCCAAAATTAGCCCCAGTAATAAAATATTGAGTCCATTAAATATCACGAAAAATTGGCTGGCATTAAGGATTCGGCTTTGCATTAAGTAATGAGTGACGAATAGATTTTCACTACTGAATATCGCCAACACTTTTTTCAACCCACGTGACCCTACAAAATTTTACCGTGTCACACCCCCTCCGTTATTTTTTCATTTTTTTCCAGTGAAAATTTTCTATTTGTCACCTTATTCGTCACACGGAAAATTTCGGCCAAGTTCAGTAAAGCCGGCTAAAAAATCACGTGGGAATGAAAATAGTGTTGGCGATACTGGGGTAGTTAATTATGTATTAATAATTAAATTTTCATCGATTTTAAAAATCCATGAAAATTTTCTAACCAGTCGTTTTTTTTTTAAAAAAAAAATTATTTTATTGATTAAAATAAATTATTATTTTTGTATTTAAATTATTTTATTAAACTTTCTGTAGCAATGATTTTCCTAATTTATTTTATTTTGACAAAAATACCGTTAAATAAACAATTACTCAACTATTAAAAATATTTTAGGACTTCCAAGTTAGTTAGATAAAGAAATCTTGCTACTGATAAAGGACTTGAACTCGAAATAAAAAAAAAAACCAAAACCTCAAGTGTCAAATGGCTTAAGATTTTGTAATTTTTTATATGCAGATCGTACCGCAGTACAAATCTATCGTATTGATTTGAGATTCGTATATCATACTCTGATAATATTTGAGTAATTTTTCGATTCAACGTTATGTTGTCAAAATAAATTTGATTGAAAAGCATTGTTAAAAATATAATAATTCACTTTACGATACCAACGTGCACGAAAGAATCGCACCATAACGTACCGTTATATTTTAAATAATCAAAAGCATAGAATAAATTTATTTATAAAAGAAATTTATTAAGATCAATTATTCATGCATGTGACTAACCAAAATAAAATGAATAATGCTCTTTTCCCTTTGATCTATTATATTCAAGCTATTACGAATAACTTAATTTCATTAAGAAAAGAAGCATTTGACAGTATTGCAACTTTTGTGATAAATTAAAATACTATGTGTAAAATTCATTAACGAGAATATCACTCAAATTTATAATAATGACTCCTAAAATGCACAGTAAGTACCTTACTATTGTAAATTAAAATTCTATTTTTCATTTTAAATTTGATATTAGCTTAATAAATTATAGGTTAAAAATCTCAGTCGTAATGATAATGATGAGATAAATCATTTGAAAAAATTTGTTGAGGAAAATTGGATAAAAAAATCTTGTTTATCAAGGAACATTTTAAAAGTTCGTTATATCAAAATTTGGAAAATAATAGCTAGTGAAATGAAGTTCAATGAGTTAATTGTGAACATTTCTGATTTCGAAATATTATGTTAAATTTGTATACGATATTGTTTAACTAAATCATTATTTTATTAATGCTGCTTTAAGCTATACCATCCGAAAATCAAAAATGTTATTTTTGAATAAAGAGTTACAAAAAGTGGGTGAATCGGGATTATTAATTAAAACTTTTGAAAAAAATGTTAAATAAAAAAAAAATTTCTCATTTATTTTTGATGATATTTAAACTTAAACTAGCCAGTACTTTTTTTCTAATACCCACGACAGATATGTAAAAAATATGATAATATAACACTATATAGTCTAGTAATTTTATTTATTGTATTTTATTGGTTGATTTAATTATATAGAATTTTGTGATTGTATATAGCTCAAGAATTCTAGTCATAGTAACATTTAATATTAGGTGTCATATATGTCAATTTGTCTGGTTACTCACCGAACTTAATTGTGGATTTATCGGCATATTAAACTTTTGTTGTTCACACCAATGTTTAATTATCATACGTGGCCTTGTAATTATAGTTAAACTCTGCATTTTAAGGATAATATTATTATCTAAAATTAACTATTCTATTATTTATTTTTGCAATATGATAATGAACGCTGATTAATGTTTACATGTGTAACATTTTAAGTTTATTTATAGTCTTCGTTTGATGATCATATTTTTTGTTTACAATTGTTGTATTCCTGGTGTATAATATGGCAATTGAGACACAAAAAGCAGAGGTCAGTAAATTGTAATTCAGTAATTCAGTTTAAGATTTCGAAGCAAGAATTAACGATTTGACTTATTTTTATTTTTATTTTATTTTTGATATAGATCCTTAAGTAATTGGATTATTTTACGTGTTCCAAATCATATCCTGATATCATGTAATTATGCCACTTTTTTTTTTTTTAAAAAAAAAAAAGGTTAACGAAATTTACGTGTAATTAAATTTATCGTTGTAATTTATTTTGTAGTTATTTTCATATTTGAGTTGATATAATCTCGTCATGCTGTAAAGAAATCTATTGATGAAGGATAGTAAGCAACTATGCAACTTTTATAGTAATAGTAAATTATTGAGAATAGTTTTAAGTTTATTATTTAAATTCATTTTCAAGTTATGCATACATTTTCGCAATTGAAATGAATTTCGTACTGTATTCTGAAAGTGTTAATACAAATAATGTATTTTCATGAATATCGGATGCTTTACATAACGGCAGAGAAAATAAATCTAAACTATCGAAAATTGGTATAACCAGTATCTTCAATTATTAAATCTCACGTAAAAAACTAAAAAATAATGTATTAATCTTAATTATAACTTTTTATAAAATAAATGACTCCAAACGATCAACATTTTTTCTGTTCCTACATCTCGTTCATCTCCTTTACCAGCTATTTTATATAATTCAAATGCCTTTTCCTTATAAATATTAACTACAATTCCATGTTCATAAAATATCCAACTTTATAATGCGCTTCTAAACATTCTTGATTAGCCGATTTTTTTATAAAATTCAAATGCTCTAACTAAATTCTTACTAACTCCTTTTCCTATTTCATAAAATTCTCCCAATTTAT